TGGGAGGAAGAGTGATCTAGCTGGGACTCTGGCCCTGGCATGTGGAGGTGAGTTAGGTCTGCACTTTTAGAGCCCACAGTCCAGCAGATGACATACAGAAGGATTAGCTTTAATGAATGTTATAGGACCCAGGCAGTCAGGATGGCTTCCTGGAGGAAGTGAGTGCAAAGGCAATATGGTTAGCTTTTGGCCAGATTTGGGCCACACTGATGATTGTCAGGCTCCAGAGAAACTGAAGTGTGTGGGAAAGCCCAAAGACCTTGTCCATCCATATGCCTCACCCTGGCCCTTTGCTCTCTCCTGCAGATTGAGGCGCTCCCCCCAGAACTCTTCCAGTGTCGGAAGCTGCGGGCTCTGCACCTGGGCAACAATGTACTGCAGTCACTGCCCTCCAGAGTGGGTGAGCTGACTAACCTGACACAGATTGAGCTTCGGGGCAACCGGCTGGAGTGCCTACCCGTGGAGCTGGGCGAGTGTCCACTGCTCAAACGCAGTGGCCTGGTGGTGGAGGAAGACTTGTTCAGCACGCTGCCGCCCGAGGTGAAGGAACGACTCTGGAGAGCTGACAAGGAGCAGGCCTGAGCGTGTAGCCTGAAGGAACAGCGAGGACCCTCATCATGCCCTCACTCCAAGTGAGCAGTCCAGCTCTCCCAGGACTGCTGAACAGCCAGCCGGGTCCCTTCAGGCAGAGCCCGGGCCAGGCATGAGCTGGGCCTGGGCAGAAGACAGGACTGAAGGGCTGGCCCCTTTTCTCCCTCCGGCACTTGCCGGAGACTGGAAACTCTGAGACTAGTCTCAGAGTACAGTATTTGGACAATCAGGGTCTTCACCCTGGAGGCCATCTCTGCCTCAAAGGCCGAGCTGGCACCAGAGGCCCAGGGACAGTAACTTAAATCTGGGTATTTATTTTTCTCCACCTCCCATCTCCTCCCTCCAGATAACTTATACATTCCCAAGAAGGGTTATCTCTGTGGGAAGTGTTTAAACAGCCTGGCAGTGTTCACTGCCTTCTTTTCTGGTGATGCTGACAGTCAGTGCCCACCCAGACTTAGCCAGAGTTGGGTAAAGTGAGCCAGCCGCAGGACGGTTGCCATATTGACCCTGGGCTAGGCTCTGGCAGCAAAACTTGTGGGAGACCAGGCTTCCAGGTAGAAGGGTCAGGCCTGGGGCTTGCCACATTAGATTTGAAACAATTAAAAAAAATTTTTTTTAAGTCATGTTTTGTTTTTTTAGCTTTGAAAATGATGGTTTAGGTATTTAAAAAAAAAAAAGAAAAGGAAAAAAAAAAAAGACACTAAAGGCCAGTGAGTTGAAGTCTCAGGGTGGGTGGTATTTCCCCTTGAGCAAAGCAGCAAGACATTGAAGGACATTGAAGGAAACTTCCTGTCCCTGTGGTGTGGGCCAGCATGTCTTCCAGTCTGTCCTGATCTTAGTCCAGAAGTGTTGTCTGTTCTTCTTTCCTCCTGGGGCAGGCAGGGCTTTCATTTTTGTTTGCTTTTAGGGTTTTTTGTTTTGTTTTGTTTTGTTTTCTCCTCCATGGGTCTTGGCAAGCACCCTTTTCATGGCTGTCAGCCAAAAGGAAAGCTCTGGAGCTGCCAAGAAGGGAGGAGACTTGGGCTGGCTAATCCCAGATGAACGGTGCTCCTTCCCTCTCTTCCTGTCCCATGATGCCCCTCACGCACAGTGTTAAGAAGCCCAGAGCAACTGCTTCCCCCAGACTCAATACCCCCTCTCACCTCTGCTGCTTACATTGGCTCTGTCACCATTTGGTCCTTCGTGAAGAACAGTCATTTAGAGGCAAGTTGGGCGTGGAGAGATCAACACTGGGAGGGCAGGTTTCCCAGTTTTTGGTTCCAGGCTAGTTTCTGTACTGGGCACCTGGTTTGCACACAACAAAGTTAGCACCTAGTGGCAGTAAGCCACTCTGCTTTAGATCAATCACTAGGGTCCCCACTTTAGGAGGGTCCTCGCCTTAGATCAATCACATGGACACTAGGGCACGTTTTAGCGTCTCTTGTCTTAACAATTACATCTGTCTTTCCGTCCATTTGTGTTTTCTGCGTCGTTGGATGTAATCCTTGGAAATACTGCACACTAGCCTCTGACAACCATGAAGCAATCCGTTACACATGGGTCTGACTTATGGACTCGGTTCAAATGTTAAATAAATCTATAACACAGTTGCCTTTGGAGGTCTCCATGCCATAGAGCGCGGTTCTTTGCCTTCACTCCTCTGAGGTGTTTTGATCTTGGTTGACTATTTTGTTGAGGAACAGAGCACCTATGGTAGCTGTTCACCTCTCTGCCCTGGGAAACTTAGAGTACCTTTGAGGCAGTGCACCTGTGTGCTCCAGGCATGGTTCCTGACCAAGGATCTTGTGGCCAGTGCATTTTCTGTTGTTCCAGGCACCTTTTGTTTGGGCCCTCATGAGCTTTGATTGGTTGGGGCTGGGAGTCATCTGGAATGGGAGCCAGTAGCCAGAACTGCATGTTCCAGCCCAGTTGTCTTGTACATGAAGCTAAGCCTATCTTTCCCCTCTGTGGCCTCCATATCCCCATCTGTGCCATGGGCATTTCCATCCTGTTTTCAGAAGATGCTTAGGGCTGCAATACCCAAGAATCCATGGCTCTGCAAAGGTAAGGCTGGCAGTGACCAAGGGCGGCCTCCCTGGCTCCCAGCCCCATTTGGGGTCAAGGGCAGAGGCTCTGAGAAGTAGAATTGCCTTCAGAGCTCACCTCTACTGAGTCTCTTAGATCCCTTAATTTTTTGTTTGCCTTCCCCCAATTGGTTTCTTTTTCTTTTTTTCCTCTTGTTTGTAAAATTGGAATAATAATGGCATGGGTGGGCTTGTTTAAAGGAGCCATGATTATATAATGTCCAATTTCTACTCTCCGTGGCTGTAGTACCTAACAGTGTTATATGGGTTCGGGAGGACGGGAGGCATTGCTGGGAATAGAGCCTAATGAAATGGTGAACAAGTGTTCTTTCCATCCACTGAGGTCTGTTTCTCACTCCTGGGTGAGCTATGGATGAATGCTTCCTTAGGTTCACAGTAGCAGAAGCTAGAAGTCCAGGATCTGATGCTCTATCTAGTGAGGGGTACATGCCATTCCCTAACATCACTGGAGTTGGGAGCTTCAGGGCTACCCTGTTCCCAGGAGAAGCATTAACCCTTTCATTCATGACAGTGGACCCAAACACTTCCTCCTCTGCTCTGCCTCCCTGTGGTTGTTGAAATCAGTGATGTACCAGTCACAACTGTCATCTCAGAGGTCTGAAAGCTGACTCAGGAAGGTTGCCAGAAGACAAGGCCAAGTGTGGCTACCCGTATGGGCCTGCCAGACCTATGGAACAAGCAGAGAGCCATTTTGAGGGTTTATCAAAAACTCAAAATAAGAAGAATTGAGTTTCTAATAGATGGATTTGGGTTTTCAAGCCTAGCGTGTGCCCAGTCAATAGTCTCCCTCCTTCCTTCTGGACCATGTGCCTGTCATAAGAACTTACATCAGGAATCTTTAGGTGAGGAAGAGAGGCCAAGGTGTGAACATAGTGAGGAGGCCTGAGTTGCTTGGGCAGTTCTTCTGGAACTGTCTAGAGCCTGTCTCCTTGCTCCACAGAGACAGGCCCCTCAGACCTGAGCCAGAACTCCCTCTACCTCTGCCCTTGTGGGCTGCTAGCACAGTGGGCTCTACTCACTGAAGATCCTCTTTCATCAGTTGAGGTGGGGAACCTCCAGTCCTGTCTGGTCTGGCCGATCTGGTTCCTACACCACCCTTCAGTCCTGTGAATTCTCCAGCCCCAGAGAATGCAGTCTGGAACTAGTTAGCTTCTGAGGAAGGATGATGTGGAAACAGCCCAGCCTCCCCTCAAGGCCAGCAGAATGACTAGAATGGAGGCTCCCTATCCCACCCCGTCTCATCCCTGCCTCTCCCACACCCCCTCTCATCCATCCCTGCCTCTGCACTCTACCTGAAACCACAGTGATGGCCTAACCTCTACTTTAAAAAACAGCTTAGAAAACTTGGAGAAACTGAAAAATAGTTTTAAAAACAAAACCCTTCCCCCTGCCACCTCACCCTGTCAGCATTGGGTGAGCCAGTTGGGAGGTACATCCTAGGTGATAGCCCAGGCCAGACTTCTTATCAGTGGGGTCCTGTTATCACCAACTGCAGAAGTTAAGGGCTGGGTCCCCACCCCCTTGCCTGGCTGAGCCCCTGTCCCCACCTTTGGTGAAGTCCCCAGGCCACTGCTGGCTCAGCAGTAGGGGCTCTCTCCACTTCCGTGTTCCTGGAACAAGGTTGGGTGTCTGTTTTTGCTCAGCAGTTGCATCAGAAAGGACTAGTTCTGCGAGCCCTTCCTTGTGACTCTCCCTGTTCTGTCTCTGGGGCCTTCCCCAGCCTTACCCAAGAGATTTTCCATCAGCCTCGGGCCAGTGTGCACAGCCCTCATTGGCTTTCTTGAGGCGTATACCGCCTAGACAAAGCTGTAGCTCCCAGTGTTGTGGCCCAGAAAACACTTGATCTGGAGCCAAGGCTCTTGCTCTCAACAGATGAGCAGTGTCCCCTCACGTTCTCCTGAGACACTCTGTCCCTTGGCTGTTCAAAGCAACATTTCTGGGAAGGCCAGTGAACAGCTTTTTAGAGCCCAATGTCCCTGTCAGCTGCAGAACCAGCAGGTGGTTCTGACTTCCCTGCCAGCCCCTCTGTAGATACCAGTCATCCTGTGTCTGAGGCTGGAGAGCAGAAAGCATTCTGAGGTCCCAGTACCCCCTCGTGGGCCCTCCCTCAGCCCTCCAGTCTTCCAGCATCTTCAAATCAAAGTTGGAGCACACAGTTATTTTCCTAGGACCTCTTAGTCCACTCAGTCCCACAGACCCCGCCTCAGTAGATTTAAATCCCGTGACTGGGACTCTCAGGCTTTTCCTTCCTCTTACTAACAGTGACTTCAGGGTTCTGGCAGTCTTCTGCCTGGCCCACAATAAGTAGCAATTCCCAGAAGCACCCAGGAGTGGAATCTACAGAGAAACCGGAGGGGTCAAAGGACACAGATCACGTGAAGGGAAACAGGTGAAGGTTAGTCCTGTATTAACTGGAAGCTGGGCTGGGACAGAGAGAGACCAGGTCTGCTTTCCAGGTCAGAAATGGTGGTGGAGGGGCAGGGGACGGTACTGGGCCCTGAGTGGAAGGCACAGACAGAACTGGACTGGACTGTTGGGGAGGTGGAGCTGTGGGGTGGGCTGTTTTCTGGGTAGTTAAGAGTTAAGCCCTTCTGGGCTTCCTTACTGGTCTCTCCCTGAACTTTCTCCTCTCCAGCCCTGGAGTCAGCAACCTGAGCTAGCAGTGTCCTGCAGCAGTCCCCATGGCCTGCCTGAGTCCCTCACAGCTCAAAAAGGTAGGGGCCTGTAGCTGGAGAGAGGGTCTAGACCTCGCTAGTGACCCTTGGATTTAGCTTACCCCTGACATCTCACAAAGGAGAAAAGTTTCCCAGGACATAAACCCTAAATTCTGTGATATCACCTAAAGCAGAGAGATCACAGACAACCCCCCTCCCAGGTAGGGCATGGGGTGTGTGTGGGGGATTCAGGGTAGGGGGTAGAAAAGCCAGAATTCAGATTAGTCAATCCAGCCAGTCCCCGAGAGGCCTATTGATGAAGCCAGGGAAACTAGATGGGGACAGGCCAATAGATAGGTCAGTCTGTTATGAAAACCTATCATATAGGGGTTAGGAGTTGGAGTATACATACTTTAAAATATCCACCCATGAATTCATATGTCAAGACTGTTAATGTTTTAGATCTTCCTTTGGATCCTCATTTCAAAGTTCCTCCTGGAGCTGTGGTTGTGGCTTAGTAGTTGAATGCTTGCTGATGGTCCTGATAGATTCCAGCGCACACACACACACACACACATACACGCACACATACACACGCGCACGCACACACACCCTAGTCTCTCATGACAGCTATCATTGTTGTCCCAGTTCTCAAACTTATCCATGGCCGAATACTCACTGGAACTCAGTCCTATCTCACGGTATATCCAGGGACAGAGCCCCTTGTCAGTATCCCCCCCCCCCATGGTTTCTCTGTGTAGCCCTGGCTGTCTTGGAACTCACTATGTAGAGCAGGGTGGCCTCAAACGCAAAGATCAGTCTGCCTCTGCCCCCAGAGTACTGGGATTAAAAGACATGGGCCACCACACCCAGCTCATCTTTGCTTCTGACCCTTAGTTTTGTTTTATTTTGTTTTTTCAATTCTGGGGATGGAATTGTACGTGTTGGGCAAGCAGTCTACTTCAGAGGGACATCCCAGCCCACACTTTATGTTTCCCAGCAGTCCCAGAATAAAAAGACAGGCCTACATCAGAATGAGCCCCCTGTGTTCACCCCTACTAACTTCACACAGACTCAGGAGAAAGGCCAGCTCCATCTGGCCCGGCCCTGCCTCCTTCCCCTTGGCTCCTCCACCCTATCCTCACTCTCTGCTCCATCCTTCCCCAGTGTCTCATGTTCTTCCAGTGCATAGAGGCTTTGCATACCCTTAGTCTCGGTCTGCAATGGCCCTTCCCTTTCTATTTGCTTTCCAATATCCTGTGCTTTTTGAAACTTCACCTCTCAAAGTCTGCCCCTTGTTCCCTGTATTCAACATAACATAGCATGGTGTGTTTGCCTACTTGCCTACCATTAGTGATGCTTGGGTCCCTGTCACTGTACTGTAAACTGTGTGAGGGTGGCTTGTTGGAAACCACATGTCTATCTTCTAAAACTGCCCCATACACACTCATGCTTAGTCAAGATTGGAATAGCCAGACATTGTGGTACACACCTGTAATGCCAGAACTCAGGAGGCTAAGGCAGGAGGATTGTGAGTTTGAGGCCTCCCTGGGCTGCACAGAGACCCTATCTTCAAGCAAGCAATCAAACAAACAAAAGAAGGGGGCTAGAGAGGTATTTCAGTGGTTAGGAGCTCTTGTGCAATCATGAGAACCAGGGTTTGAATCTCAGCACCCACTTAACCTGCACATGCCTCTAAGCCCACATCCCGGGTGGAGATAGGTATGCTAGGGTTTACAGGCTATCAGTCTAATGAAGAAGACATAACCCCAGGTTCAAGGAAGAGTGCCTTCCTCAGGAATGGAAAGGGTAGTAGAGCGGGGCACCTACTGTCCTTTTCTGGTTTCTCTGCACATGCATAAACGTGCACACCTGCAAGTACACACACACACACACACACAACACACGTGTTCTATACTCAGACTGACACATTTGCACATAAATGTAAGCAAAAAAAGATTGTATTTCCATATGTCACAAACCCGCTGGAGGCCAAAAGCAGAGACAACCCCCCACTCCCTTCCTCTCTAAGATCCCAATATTGAGTGTCCCTTCACTGAGTACCAGACACACATATCCAGGACAGGGGACAGAGCAGCAGCACGACACTTAATCTTGGTCCAGGTTTGTGGTCAAACATGGATCATAAGGAATGGGTGAGGGCAGAGGGAATCCTGTGTCTCATTTCTGCCCGCAGTTTCAGGAGGATGGGTTTCTGCTGTTGGAAGGATTCTTGACAGCAGAAGAGTGTGTGGTCATGCAACAGAGAATTGGTGAGATTGTGGCGGAGATGGACGTCCCTCTGCACTGTCAGACAGAGTTTTCCACCCAGGAAGAGGAACAGCTTCAAACTCAGGTAGGGACCTGGGTCCATGAGGATGGGCATCTGGTTTTTGATGGGAGCTCATTATCTTCCTGAAGCAGCAGCCTGGATGGGAGGAGCCCAGGCCACAGGCTTCTTCTGAGAAGGGATCAGAGCTCAGCCATCTGCATGCCAGGTACCAGGCTATTCATTATGAATTTGTGTGGTAGGATTGTTCTGACTTGGCACATGGGAAAAGCAGGGCTTTTCCTTGGGTAATATTGGTTGCTCCAGCCACACAGTTTGTAACTGACAGAGCCAGGACTTGAATCCAGCTCACATGGTGCTGGGCATTGACCTGCTGTAGTTCCTCAAGTTCTCTGGCCACAAAGAACCTTCTGTGACCAGAGTGAGCCCTGAGATTCTGATGGGCCACTCTGGGGTGAGTCATTCCCCAACCAGACTAGGAAGGCGAGCTGCTTCCCTGATAGGCGGTTCTTCCAGCCAGTTCTCTTAACCCTTTTCCGTCTGGATTTCTGGCAACAGGGCTCACTCTTACTGATGTCAATGAGCTTCTGCCATCTGGTGGGCATAAACAGAATTACAGCATCCACAAGTGCCTTCCCCACCCCCCCCCCCCAAAGCACATCACAGTGTTTGGTTTTCTGTTTTCGTTTTTTTCCAAGTAGAAGGACACACACACACTCTAAGGAGTGAGGGGGCTGAATCTTGTCCCCTTCCCTAACTATCTTCTGACTTCAACAATCAGCAGATAGCAGAGACAGGAAGAATGCAAGAAGAAAGGCGGGGCTGCAGAGATGGCTCAGTGGTTGAGAGCACTGGCTGCTCTTCCAGGGAGCCTGGGTTCAATTCTAGCTAGTACATGGCAGCTCACAGCTGTCTGTACCTCTAGTTCTAGGGGATCCAGTACCCTCTACAGACACATAAAATAAAATATTTTTTTAATCTTAGGGGAGAGAGAAAGAGGGGAGAGGAGGAGGGAGAGAGGGAGGGAGGAAGGGAGGTAAGGAGGGAGAGAACTTGGCATGGTGGCATATGCCTTTAGTTCCAACACTCAAGAGACAGAGACAGGTGGATCTCTATGAGTTCGAGGCCATCCTACTCTACAAAGTAAGTTCCAGGATGACTATGGCTACACAGAGAAACCCTATCACAACAAAACAAAACAAAAAAGGAAGAAAAAGAAAGGGTACTGTGGCCAGGCAGTAGTGGCTCACATCTTTTATTCCAGCACTCAGGAGGCAGAGGTAGGTGCATCTTTGTGAATTCAGGGCCAACCTGATCTACAGAGTGAGTGCCAGGACAGGCTTCAAAAGGCACTGTTGTCTCTTGATACTTTGTTTTGTTTTTGAGTTAGGTTTGTCTGTGTAGCCTGGCTGTCCTGGAATTAGACCAGGCTGGCCTCTAACTCACAGAAATCTGCCTGCCTCTGCTTCCTGAGTGTTAGGATTAAAGGTGTGTGCCACCACTACCCAGCCTCTAGATTCTTTATTTCATGTGTATGGGTTTTGCTTGAATGCATGTATGTGTACCATGTGTACATTGTGGGTGGAGTCCAGAAAAGGGGTCAAATACCCTGAGACTGGAATTACAGAAAGTTGTGAGTTTGTCATGTGGGTGCTGGAAATTGGTCAAGGGTTCTTGGGAAGAGCAGCCAGTGCTACTTATCACTGAGACATCTTTATTCCTAAGAAGCCATATAGTTTCAGCAAAACTGTGCAGGAAGCATCACCTTCCTCAGACAGAATGGTTGTTTGTTTGTTTGGTTGGTTGATTTTTTTGAGACAGGGTTTCTCTGTGTATCCCTGGCAGTCCTGGAGTTCACTCTGAAGACCAGGCTGGCCTTAACTCACAGAGATTCACCTGCCTCTGCCTCCTGAGTGCTAGGATTAAATATGTGTGTCACAACCACCTGGCTTTGCTCGTTTGTTTTGAGATATGGTCTTACTCTACAGCCTTGTCTGTTCTGGAATTGGCTATGTAGCCCAGGCTGGCCTTGAACTCATAGAGATCTGCCTTCCACAATCATTCTGTCACTTTAAACTCAGGACTCCATAGGTCATATAAGATACTGAACATACAAAATAGGCTCAACCACCTGTCAGTGTGAGTTTTCTTAGGAGGTTTAAGGCTAGGAAAAGCTGTTCAAGTGGGCAGGCGTGACAGTGCCTTCTTGTTACTGTGACAAAACCTGGCAATCAGGAGGATAGATTTATTGGGCTCACATGGTTCAGCTCATGGCCATTTGACTTCCTGGCAGGGAGGTCATGACAGAGCAGAACTGCTCACCTCGAGGCAGCTGGAAAGTAGAGAGAGTACAGAGTACAGAAGAAGGGTTTGTGGCAAGATGTACCTGACTTAGTCAGGCTTTACTATTGCTGTGAGGAGATACCATAACCACAGCAACTCTTATAGAAAGAACATTTAATTGAGGGGGCTCACTTAACAGTCCAGAGGTTCAGTCCATCATGGCAGCCTGCAGGGAGACATGGTACTGTAGAAATGGCCAAGTAGTGTACATCTTGCAGGCTACAGGAAGTCGACTGACTGGATAGTTTCTGAGTGTATGAAATCTCAAATCCTACCCCCACAGTGACACTCTTCCTCTGGAAGGTGTGGCCCAGATCAAAGCTGTGCCCTCCAGCCTCAAGGTCTGGATTAAAGGCACATGTCATCCATCCTACTCCAACAAGACCACACTTCCTCCAACAAAGCCACACCTCCTAATAGTGTCACTCCTTCTGAGCTTTTGGGGGGTCAAATACATTCAAACTACATCAGCCCTTCATTCAAAGCCTCATCCCAGTGACCTACTTCCTCCAACAAGGTCCAGACTCCGTCAAGCCCACCCAGCCATAAGCTCATCAATGGAGTAATATAGGAGCCAAGGTAGTGCCCTTCCTATTCAGCTGGGGACTGCGCCTCCAACACATGAGTCCATTTGTGAGGATGATTTTGTATGTACAGTGTAAGAACTGATGCCAGGTGGTGGTGGTACCAGCCTTTAATCCCAGCACTCTCGAGGCAGACATACTCTGGTCTCTGAGTTCAAGGCCAGTCTGGTGTACAGAGAGTTCTAGAACCAGGATTGCACACAGAGAAACCCTGCTTAGATGTAGTAGAGGTGGGTTTTTGTTTGTTTGTTTTGAGGACTGGGTGAGATGGACTGGGTGAGGACTTGTGTTCAGTCCCTAAAACCTACATTAGAGTTGGGGTGCATGCTGGTACCAGTGCTGGATGTTCTGCTGGAGCCTCCAGCTCACTCCTACATGATCAGGAAAGCCCATTCCTCTTTCTCAAGCCCCATCCTGTCAGAGAATTAGAGAATCTCCAAGAAAGAAAGGGCATCAAATAGCGCAGCTCTCCATTCTTAGCAGCTGGGGCAGCTTCTCCCTTGAAGAAGACAAAGTCCCAGCCTAAGGCACTCAGCTTTTGACCATAGTTGGGCACGAAACCCAGCTGTGGCAGACATGTCATCACCCCTCGCCTACAAGCTATATAGGCTCCCTGCTTTAGTTTGGGCAGGTGACTTCTGTTGCCTCAATATCTGGGACTGGAGAACTCACCTGGGAGTTGCTTTGTTCAAATAAACCTGTTGTTTTAGTTTTTCAATTTGGCTTGATCTGGCTTACTGTGTTGGTGGAGAAACCTATTATCAGGGTACAGAAAACGTATTACTGGAGAGATGGGGACAGGTGGATCCTTAGGACTTGCTGGCCTGTAGATGGAGTTTTTCTCTGCCTTAGTAGTCCCCTCCCAAATAATCATACAGATACTTATTATTAATTATAAATGTTCAATAGATATCTCAGGCTGGTTATTAGCTCACTCTTACATTTTAAATTAACCCATATTTCTTATTCAAGTTCTACCATGTGACTCATAGCTTGTGACCTCATTTTCTACATGTACTGCTTCCTCTGTGTCTGGATTGCAACTCCCCTGACTCTTCCCTACTCCCTCCTAGTGTCCTTAGTCTGGTTTTCCCACCTAACCTTATCCTGTCGAGCAATGGGCCAGTCAGCTTCTTTATTAAACCAATCACAGTATAATTTACACAGTGCATAGAAGGATTATTCCACAGCACTGGCCAGCTAGCCGAGCCTACTTATGGAATTCTAGGCAAGTGAAAGACATTGTCTTAATGAAAACAAGGTGGATGGCTCTGAAAGAATGGCACCTAAGGTTGTCCTTTGCCCTTTGCCCCCATATCTGTGTGTGTGTGGCTTTTTGATGAATAAGACTGTCAACTTATGCAGACTTACCTGGTCAAAGCTCCATGGTAAATTAAGGATCATTTGTAACAAGAAATGTCCAGGAAATCTCAATTTGTAGCTTCAGGCACCTGGAGTTTTAGTCCATTGTGTTTACCTGGAGGGCATCTCTAGTTCTGTGGGATGGGCAGCACCTGAATCCACTCCTTACCTTGTCACACCCAGCTTTGTCCCCAACCATTCTCTAGTCTCTCTTCTGTCCCCTCCACAGGGCAACACAGACTATTTCTTGAGCAGTGGTGACAAGATTCGATTCTTCTTTGAGAAAGGTGTTTTTGACAAGAAAGGTTTGGAGCAGGCTCTGGGGACATGAGGGTGGGTGGGGCTGGGAGGGAGCAGAGAGCGACCACCTAGGGGAGCTGGGCTCTAGCTCTTCTGCCTTTGTCTGTTTTTTTTTTTTTTTTCTTTTGTATCACAGGAAATTTCTTGGTCCCTCCAGAGAAATCTATCAACAAAATTGGCCATGGTGAGCAGGAGTCTGGGTGTACAGAAGAGAAAATAGGGCATCGAGATCTAAAGAGTTTAATTAGGACAGGACCAAAGCCCACCATTAGATGGTAGTTGCCCACATGGCAGTGGTGATGCACCCTTTAATCCCAGCACCGAGGAGGAAGAGGCAGGTGGATCTCTGAGTTCGAGGCCAGGCCTGATCTACAGAATGAGTCCAGGACAGCCAGGGCTGCACAGAAAAACTTTGTATGGAACTCCCCCACCCCACAAAAAGATGGCAGTTGTCTGTCTGGCCACAGGCTCTTGTCCCTGTATCCTCTTCACCCTTAGATGTTGGTCACTTGGCACCCCCAGCCCTGCACTGGGAAAGGGCTCCACTTGTGTGGCCCCAAGAAGGGCAGTGCAGGCTCATCCACTCTCTACTGCCCGGTCTGGGTATGATCTCTGGGCATGGGGGTTCTAGCTCCAGCTACTTCCTGGAGTTTCCTTAAGGGTTACCTGCTGTGACATCCCAGTCCTTATTCTGAGACCTCCAAATCAAGTGTGCAAACTCTTGCCTTTTTTTCAAGATGTCATGAGACAACTTATTTTTAGACTCTTTAATTGAACATTTACTTACTGTGTGTGTGTGTGTGTGTGTGTGAGAGAGAGAGAGAGAGTGGGCATGTAACTGCACTGAGTATGCCATGGAGAATGTGTGTAGGTCTGAGGAGTCATTTCTTTCCCTCTACCATGAACTTGAGTTGTCAGGCTTTAGTAGTAAGTACATTGATCCACTGAGCTATCTCATTGGCCCACTTTTGTTTTTCCTTTTTTTTTTCTGTTGTTGTTGTTTTGTTTTGTTTTTTGAGACAGGGTGTCTCTGTGTAGCATTGGAGCCTGTCCTGGAAGTCACTCTGTAGACCATCCTGGCCTGGGACTCAGGAACCTTCTGCCTCAGCCTCTGGAGTGAGTGCAGGGATTACAGGCTTGCACCATAATACCTTGTTTCATTACTATTTCCAAATGTATAAACCAGACATGGTGGCCTGTGCCTTTAATGCAGGCATACCAGAGGTGGAGGCAGGAGGATGGAAAATTGAAGGTCATCTTCAGGTTCATAGTAAGTCCAGGCTATCCTGGGACACATGAGACCCTATTGCAAAAGCAAAACAAAAAAGGAATAAGGCTCTGGTCAGAGTAGGGTCTGTGGCCCTTTGCTTAGTTATAAACAAACATAAAGTTTAGAATAGGTGAAAATTTCAAAGTGAGACCTGAGTCTGGTGTCTAGGGTGTGGGAGGGATACACAGGGGCCCAGGCTAGCCCATGAACCCATCTCTGATCCATAGCTCTGCATGCCCATGACCCTGTCTTCAGGAGTGTGACGCATTCTCCCAAGGTGCAGGTGAGTCGGGGCTGAAGGTAAAGGAGGGAGGGTGTAAAGAACAGATGTGTGTGAACATGCCGGCAGAGTGTGTGTGTGTGTGTGTGTGTGTGTGTGTGAGAACATGCTGGCAGCTTGTGTATGAACAGGCTGGCATTGTGTATGTTTGAATGCACCAGTGGTGTGTGTGTGTATGTGTGTGTACAGGCCAGCAGTGTATCTTTCATCTTCCAGGCTTTGGTCAGAAGTTTGGGCCTCCAGCTGCCAGTGGTGGTGCAGAGTATGTATATCTTTAAGGTAAGTTCTGCAGCTTCTCCACACTTCAGTTTACCCTCTGTAAGAGGACAGACTGTTCATACATAGCATTATCTTACACTAAGCCAAGAACTGCTGGAACTGTGGTTAGGTTGCTGGGAAGGAACATAGAGCCAACCTCCAACTAAGGGGCTTGGCACTACATAGATGTTCAATTAAAACCTGTTAGAGCCAACTGGTGGTGGTGCACACATTTAGTTTCAGCACTCGGGAGGCAGAAACAGGTGGATCGCTATGAGTTCTAGGCCAGCCTGGTCTCCAGAGTTCCAGGATAGGCTCCAAAGCTAAAGAGAAACCCTGTCTTGAAAAACCAACAAAACAAACAAACAAAAGAACCTGTTAGGAGAAGGAAGTGAGAACCCAGTGTCCTTGTTCTATTGAATGCTCTGCTCTCAGCTCTTAAGGGCCAGCTCAACATGACCTTCTCTAAGAAACTATCTAAATTCCCTGGGAAAAGAGCCCCCCCTCACAAAGGGTCCAAGCCTGTTCTCGCCATCCCATCACTGGGTTCTGTTTTGTGGACTTGCAGGGTGGGTACATGCTGCCTCAGTGTAGACTCCTGTTGGGTGGGGTGGTTTCTCTTTGTAAGTCTCCTAGACTGAGTGTACTGCAGGTGCTCAGTAGGTGGGTGCTAATGCAGGGTTGCAGGACCTATAAGACTCAGGTCAAATCCCACTATGCTCTCCTCTTTCCTTACCAGCTTCTTACCCTCTCTTGCAGCAACCTCACTTTGGCGGCGAAGGTGAGTTGAGACTGGTTTGCTGTGGGAAGGGTCCCTAGAGTCCTTAGTACAGTGGTCCCAATTCCAACAGCAATCTTAGCTGGTTGAGAGCAGAACCCTTGGTCCTACTCCCTAAGATTTCAAGGACTAGCTTTGGCAGAGGTTCAGGTCCCAAAGAGTGTGGAGTTGGTGGCAGGAGAGGAAATGGACAGGACCTGAGGGTGAAATGGGATGGCTGCCAGCACCAGTTATTAAAAAAAAGAATACACATTTTATACTCTATAATTATGGATTATATGGGAGAAAAGGGGGCATGTTAGGTAGGGTGTGGCTTGGGACCAGGAATTGAGGAATCTAGCATTGACCTTGACAACAGGCATCAGTCATAAATTAATGGAAGGAAGGGCTACAAGTTCCTGTTGCCAGAGATAAGGAGAATGACTGCTTAAGCAAGTAGGAACTTTCCTCAAGCCCCCAGGAGATGCGGGCCCTTATCTAAATGCCTGACCTTGGAAAAAGTATTCCTGGGGACCAGATACTATACAGCAGTTTAGGAGCAATTCTGAGGATAAGCACTGAGCTTGCATGGGCCTGTTCCCTCATAACATTCCCAAAAGGGAAGGTCCTGATGTCTTACTCTTTGACTATTATACCATACCATTCTGATTTCTATATATTTATTAACTTAACTCTGATTCTGCTTCTAGATTGTAGGCATTTCATCCTTGGGGGTCAAGTGTGCCTAGGGAATATCTAACTTTGCCATTCTCCATGTAATTAGGCAGGCACAATGGGACTTCTGGTTTCGAGGTAGCAGGGATTTTTTTTTTTTTTTTTTCAAATGAATTATTTTACCCAGGCGTTGGTGGCACACGCCTTTGATCCCAGCACTCAGGATCAGGCAGAGGCATGTGGATCTCTGTGAGTTCGAGGCCAGCCTGGTCTACAAAGCTAGTTCCAGGACAACCTCCAAAGCAATACAGAGAAACCCTGTCTTGAGAAACCAAAATTTACCAAAGAGAAAGGCATTAATAGTGAGAATCATTAAAAGTGAAAGTTAAAAGGTGCTGGATAAGTGTGGTCTGCAATGTCACAACACTTTATCATGAAGAAATATTTCCATGTGGTCCATGCCATTTTTTGTTGTTTTTGTTCAAAACAGGGAACAGGGGCTTAATATAAAGCCCTGGCTGTCTTGGAACTCTGTAGTTCCACAGCTCACAGAGATCCACCCATGCTTGCTTTTCCAGTGTGGGATTATGCACCCTATGTCATGCACCACTATGTCTGGCTTAAAAAGTTGGTTTTCTTTCTCTTTTTTAATTATTTATTTTTATGTTTGTCTGTGTACTCCCTGGAGTTATAGAGAGTTGTGAGCTCTGATTCCCCTGGAACTGGAGTTTCAGACAGTTGTGAACTGCTATGTGGGTACTGGGAATTGAACTTGGATCCTCTGAAAGAGCAGCCAGTGCTCTTAACCACTGAGCCAACTCTCTAGCACCTTCTCTAAGGTCTTAAGTCAGCATGAACCTACAAGGTTGAATTAAATTTATGCTGGGCGGTGGTGGTGAATGCCTTTAATCCCAGTACTTGGGAGGCAGAGGCAGGTGAATCACTGAGTTTGAGGCCAGTCTGGTCTACAGAGAAGTTCCAGGACAACCAGGGCTATACAAAGACACTTTGTATTGCAAAACAAACAAAAGTGTTACTTTTTCTTGTTGTTGTTTTGGGGGGATTTTTTGTTTGATTTTTGGAGGGACATATTTTCTGTGTGCAACAGCTCTAGTTGTCTTTGCTGGCCTCAAACTCACAACTGTGCACCTGCCTCTGCCTTTCCAGTGCTGGGATTAAAGGTGTGCACCACTACCACCACCCAGGAGTTACTTTTTATTTGTATGTATGGGTATTTTGTCTGAGCATCACATGAAGGCCAGAAGAGGGTGTTGCATCCCTGAAATTGGAGTTATAGATGGTTGTGTACCACTATATGTGTTTTGGGAATTGAACCCAGGTCCTCTGAAGGAGCAGTGAGTGCTCTTAACTAATAAGCTATCTCTCTAGCTCACAAATCTCTATTTTTGATTACCCTATTCTCTGGTCTTATTCGATTTGCACACACCACTCTATGGTGGGTGTGTGGGTGGCATTCTATTCACCTCTGCTACCAAAGACTCCTGCTGGACCCCCTCTCATGCAGCTCTTTCCTTTGTGGGAGCCCAAATCTGACTCCTTGTGGCCAGCCTCCTCCTCCCACATAGCCCCTCCCATCTCCCTGTACCTGCTCTGCCCAAGTCCAGCTCATCCAGCTACCTTGGTCATATTTTCCTCTCAAAGACTTTGAAGCCCCCTTGATTGGGCACTTCCTCTGGATAACATTGGGGATTTCAATGCCCCTCTCAAAGTTGGGTGCTTAGAATGCACAGTTAACCAAGGAGGATGAAGGTCAGACTGGAACCCTGTTACTTTGACACTGTATACAAAGCTCTTCTGTCTAGTGGCTTCTCCATCCTGGGTGTGCCTGGCATCAACATGGGGAGGCTTCAAAAAGTGGATGCAAATGGGCTGGGACTGTGTCTCCTGACTAATAAAACAGGAGGCTGTGCTTCAGCACAATCCTCTAGTTCCAGCTACTGGGGAGACAGGAGAATTATGAATACCAGGCTACATAGCTGGACCATGTCCTAAAACAAAACACAACAAAGAAATGTAGTGGCTTGGACATTCATAATCAGTACCTTGCTCTGCTTATACTTCTAGCTTATGCTATTGGTGGACCATTTGGTGGTTCAAATCTACTTGCCCTGGTTAAGTATGATGGCTTCAGTGATGTGGCTAGGATTAAACAATAGCTATTTTATGTTTTATATATGAGTGTTCTGTCTGCATGTATGTCTGCATGCCAGAAGAGGGTAATGGATCCCATTTTATATGGTTGTAAGCTACCATGTGAGTGCTAGGAATTGAACTAAAGGACCCCTGGAGTGCTGTTAACCATAGATCCATCTCTCTAGTTCTCCTGTACTAGGCAATTTTACTAGGTCATACTACAGAAGCCTGTAGCAGGCCTTTGAGGTAGGCTGTAGTTGGAACCACTCTAGAGAAACTTTCAGGGATGTTGCCCAGAGCTTGTAGGCCAGGCAATGGTAAGACTCTTCACCGGTGACCCTGGGAAGATTATGGAATGAGAACCTGGCCAAGGTGAGGTGGACCTAGCCAAGGGCCTGTATTCACCCCAGGGTGGTCTATTACAGTCTTCCCTCATCAAGATGCTACCTTTCTGTATACGGAGCCCCTGGGCCGAGTGCTGGGCGTGTGGATTGCGATGGAAGACGCCATGCTGGAGAACGGCTGCCTCTGGTTCATCCCTGGTTCCCATACTAGTGAGGATCCTATCTATCTCTGCCCAGCCTTCCCAGGGAGAGGGACATATGAAAAAGAGAGACTAAAGGCTCCATGTTTGCCTATAGGTGGGGTGTCAAGAAGAATGATTAGAGCCCCTGCAGGTTCCAGGCCTGCCACCAGCTTCCTTGGGTCAGAGCCAGCCTGGGATAACAACCTCTTTGTGCCTTTGCCAGTGCGGAGAGGTAGGTGGCCATGCCTAGAGGTCCGTGTTTGTTCTACCCCTGGCATCCAAAGGGCTCCATGGTGTCTGTCACCTAAGGGCTATGAAGTCATTGCAGAATGGGAGATGGGGTGCTGGTTTTGGGCTTGGGTGTCAGCAAACAGTATGCTTCCAGCAGGCTTTTGAGTTCACACTAAAGCCCCAGACCCTTCTAAACCCAGAGCATCAGTTTTCCCAAGTGGAAAGCAATGACTGCAGGAAGTTTACAGGGACTGTGTGAGATGCACAGTTGCTCGGTATGTGCTGACAGGTGATACCTGCTTTTCCTTATGGAAAGAGGATACTGGGTTTCAAGTCAGTGTCACCAGGTCCCCGCTGACTGATTCTCCTGTCTGGGGAAGGGAAGGCCCTTATTATTATCTTGTTTTTTTCAAGACAGGGTTTCTCAGTGTACCCCTAGCTGTCTTGGAACTTGCCTTGCAGACCAAGCTGGCTTTGAACTCACCAAGACAGGCCTGCCTCTGCCTCCCAAGTACTGGGGTTAAAGGCGTGTCTGGCCTAGGGAAGCCCTTAAGGCTTCCCGGGCAGGTCACAGTGGAAAAGACTCAATCCCAGAGGACCCTCTGTCTAGGGCATGGCCTCATCCTGGAGGGTGGGGATACTTCCCTTTTTGACAGAGGAGGGCTGTGTTCCCCTACTGCCTTGGGAAGAGCAAGACTGTGCTGTGGTGTTGTTGGCGACTTGCTGGTAACAGGGTGGTACTCCCCAAGGGGGTCTGGTCCTGATCCATGGACAAGTGGTGCATAAGAGTGAGCAGAACCTCTCCGACCACTCACGCCAGGCCTATACTTTCCACCTCATGGAGGCCGCGGAGGGCACTGTCTGGAGCCCAGAGAATTGGTAGGTAGCAGGGTTGGTACATGCCTCAGAGAACTTCCTGAGAAGACCTCAAGCCTAGGCCAGTGATCGCTAAGGCCACCTCTTGCACTCTGCAGGCTCCAGCCTACAACTGAGCTGCCTTTCCCCCCACTGTATATCTAAAGGCCCTGGCAGAACTGGGCTGGTCCGCCATGGAGGAGCGAAGCTGTCAACACCAGGGCCACTGGCTGCAACCCAAGGGCACATCTTTCTGTATGGGCTTTCTTTCTGATGGTGTCTGTGACCCTTGGTCCAGTAGACAGGGAGCCAAGAAGCACAAGTGGCAGGCAGCAGCCCAGGCTGGGAGAAGAGCTCCCTACACAATGTTGCCCCTCTGTCACCTTTCTGTCCTAACCCAGCCTTCTGAAGTGACCTCTCAGCAGTAAAAGGATTCTGGTTGAGTTCTAATTTTGTTCTTGGATGGAAGTCAGTGTAAAGCACCGAATAAAAATGACTTAAAGTATAGTTCATGTATATGAGTGTTTTGTTTGTTTTTGTCTGTGTACTGCTTGTGTGCAGGGCCTGTGAAGGCCACAAGAGGGAGTCAGATTCCCTAGAACTGGAGTTGCTGATTGTGTGCTGTCATGTGTCTGCTGGGAATTGAACCTGGATGAGTGTTTTGCCTGCTCGTATGCCTGTGCATCACATGTGTGCTTGGCGTCTAGGAGAGGGTGTCAATGCCCCTGTAACTAGGTTCTGGAAATGGTGTATCGGCAGCCAAACCATCTTTCCTGTTCTAACAAAGAACTATCCACTGAGCTATCTTGTCAACCTTTTAAAAGAAGTATTTTGGGAAGGGTGTCACAGCAAATGCCTTTGATCCTAGAGGAGAGGCAGAGCAGGGGGGAGGGAGTTGTAGGATAGCCTATTAGCAAATTTCAGACTAGCGAAGGCAAAAACAAGACAGAAAAGCTAGCATTCCATGTAGCCCAAGCTGACCCTGAACTTCTAGAACTTGGATTTTGTAGCTCTCAAGATAGCCCCAAATCTGTGATCCTCCAGCCAGGGAGGATTCTGAATGCCTCCTTCCCTCCCTACTTAAGTGAAGCTCAGCAAAGTTCTATGCCCTCAATTATCAAGTCACCTGGCTGGCCTTGGCAGCCTGTAGCCTGGAAGTAGTCCTCTACCAAACAGAAAGCCCAGCAGAATGCTTTGCAAAGCTAGGCAGGAAGTTGGTGAGCAAGCTAGTGCCCTTTCTCCAACATTGGCCCACCTTTGACACAGAGAGGAGAGGGAAAATTGGGCTTGTCACTTTTCATTGGCCCCAGAGGAATGGCTCAGTGCTCTGAGAGAAAGGGCTTGGCAGTGATTCCCAGGAAGAGAGTTCAGCTGGCTTCTGGCCTTGTCTCACTCCCCTTGCCCTGGGGTGAAGGCCTTGGGAATCCTGGTGTTATCTTCTCAATGATGGTAACTGTTCATTTGTTTAGTCAATATCTACCAAGTTCTGTGCAAACCCAGGGAGACACTGAGACTCAGGATGGAACTAGACAGCCTGCACTCATACGTACAGTGAACTGTTAAGAATTCTCCAGAACTTCCCAGCCTCTGTGGATCTGGACTCTGTACCAGAAGAGAGGGATACAGGTTTGGCCAGGTCTGGCTTGTAAGGGCTGTTAGCTTCATCCTTCTAGCGAGCAGCTCTCTCCTCTAGGCAGCAGAGGCAGGGTGGGGCCAGGTTTCTATGCACACAAGCTGACCTATGGCTGCCTTCAGTTCTTCCTAGTCCAAATAGGAGACACTGCATGCATTCAGCTCTCCGCCTCTTGGGTTTTCCTCTGAGTGAAGCTAGGAGATGAAAGGTCACTCCTGCTTCCAAGTACAACCTATCTTCTTCCTATCTTGCCTGGAGTTTTTTCTGAGACAAGTTTACTCTTGGGTAATAGTGACACTTCCCCTTACTGATTTCTGGTCATAGGTGGATCACAGGCAACCAACTTAGTGTGGTGTATGTGTGGTATCTGTGGAGGCATGCATGAGCCAGATCAGGGGACAGCTCTGGGGAGTCAATTCTTCCCTCTCACCTTCATGTAGGTTCTAGGGACTGATCTCAGGTCCTCAGCTTGTTTTGCAAGTACTTTTACCCACTCTCTCTCCTTCATGTAGGTTCTAGGGACTGATCTCAGGTCCTCAGCTTGTTTTGCAAGTACTTTTACCCACTGAGCCATCTCCATGGCCTCCAGACGGAATACTTTGGATACCTCACACACCTCTCAATAAAGCCTTCTAGTATCCAGAGAGGGCCAGACTGTCACTATTCCCATTTTATAGATAGAAGAATTGAGGCGCAGACTCACCCAATGCTGCCATACAGTTAAGCTGTAAGGCCAAGGATTCTGACCAAATATGTTTGGCAACAGATACCTAAGCATTAGGCTTTCTGTTCTGCTGCCTACAGGGTCCACTCCAACCATGCCCTACCCAGACTACAAGCTGGGAGCTCTGCAGCATATTCAACTTCCCTGGTGAATGCCTTTAAGCCTTTTTGTATTCTAATTATTAGCAAAAATAAAACCAAGAGAGCTTTGCTTATTTATTTTAAGTCTGAATCATTTGAAAAACCCAAATCTGCTTTTCACCCCTCAGTTCTTGGTGTCAAGTAGCTAGCTGCTGTGGGGACCATTCATTCTTTCTCCCCATTTCCCTGTTTCCACCTTCACAGCTGCTGCTACTACTACTAGGCCATCAGCAAAATTAGTAGGTAGAGAGGCAAAAGGAGATTGTCTATTTGAGTAGTGTATGCTTCCAGGAGTGACACAGTGCTGATAGACCCCAAAATCCAAGCATAACTGTAGTTCAGGTCTACTCCACTGTCAAAGATCAAGATGAGAGCTACAGAGATGATTTGTGCAAATATAGATGTCATAGTCCCTTCGAATGTTTTTTTTGTTCCAGGCCAGCGGATCTCCCCCATGGTGCTGCCAAATATGGAAGCAACAGTATCACCCACACCCACCGCCAGGACCCCAGCATAGGGGACCAGGGCTCTTGCTCCTCCCAGGCTGTCCTTCTGTGTACAGGGCCTGGGAATCAGCCAAATGGGAAGAGACATGCCCAGAAGCAGGTAGATGTGTGTTAGGATGAGGGGTCCACTGTCTCGTTCATCCAGGAAGAGGGACAGAAGGCTCCGCAGAGTGTGACCCAAGGGCTTGATTCGGAAATAGCGCACATATTCCAGGAAGATGAAGACTGCCAGACACACAGTGGCAGCCACATGTAGTAGTGGCCGGTCAAAGATGATACCTGGAATGTAAGTGGCTACCACAAGGAAGTGGAAATACTTTCTCGCAATGGTAGGAGCCTTGTGCTTCTTGGACTCAGAAGATGACCGCTTGGCATTCTGGTACAGCACCACCAGGCAGGCCATGGTGGCCAGCAAAGACCAATAGGCGAGGAGGTAAATGCGAGTTTCTGTGTTGAAGAGGAACTGAAGAAGCCAGAGCAGGGGGTTCCTACGAATGAGCCAGTGCAGCCAGGGCAGACCCACACCCAGGCCTAGCACACAGGTCATGAGGTGGAAGAAGACGGAAGAGGCCCATGTGCCTGAATCCATGAAGACAAAGAGGGTGCTGAAGAAGACACCCATGAGCACCATCCCCACCACCACCACCACCAGGAACAAGTCCACTGGGTCCCCTTGGCTTTCAGTCAGAGAGCGCTTGATGAGTTGGTTGAGGACGAAGCTAATGCCACCCAATACCAGCAGTGCCTCCCCAGGAGTGAAGCATCGGGGCAGCAGGTACAGCAGAATCATGTTAAGATAAACAAATATCAGCAGGACTTCTAGGACCTCGATCACCTCACCCACACTGAGGGAGTGCTTCATAATATAAATGATAATGCCTCCAGCCAAACCCGAGATAGCACAAGTATTGGTGGGCACCGGGCGAGTGATGCCCAGTGCCAACACCGAGGAGAAGAGAGCCACTGCCATGCCAGTGGCTGCAACCACAATTCCAAAGCGCTCGAAGTACGGGTTACCCGCAGTCTGGCAGCGTTCCTTCATGACCAGCCCAAGCAAAGGCATGACCATGGAGGCCGGCAGTAAGCCACTGTTCGCGGACATTCGGAACTGGAAAACGGCATTCCCTTGCTGGAGCAGCCGGTCCCACTTGTACTGAACGTAGAACGCCTGCACTGCGAGGGCCACGGCGCACCACGAGTATCGGTCCCACACCGCAGCGTGGATGCTCAGCACCACTGCGAACACCACAGCAGCCTCCGCCAGCACCGAGCCGCTCAGCGGAAACCCAGGCTCCACGACTGGGGGAGGGCACTGTCGGGTCATGTCTCCAGGCCTTGGGTTCTTGGGGAAGCTTGGTGACTAGGGACGCTTTGGCCTCAACCAGCCAAGCAGAGGGCAGCAACTTCACCCAGCCAGCAACCTTCTCCAACTTCCAAAAGTGTGCTCCACTCGGGACACTCTGAGGCCTGGGAGCCTGCGCCCAGTCACCCTCCACCGCTTCCGACCTACGGTGTAGCAGACGTTTTGCACTCTTCCCCTCTCACAGGCTCCACCGCCTCCACCGCCTCCACCGCGGACGGCTCTCAACCCTGGGCAGCGCCATCTTGACAGCCCCATTCGGGGCCCGCCCCGCCATCACGTGACGGAAGCACCCGCCCCTATTCGGATGGGGCGCGGTCACGTGGGCCCGGCGTACGGGGGCGGGGCTGGGACGCGCGCGCGAAGATGGCGGCTGCCGCCGGTGGGCCGTGTGTGAGGTGCGGAGTAGGGCGCGGCGGCGGGGGTGGCTGTAAGGCGCCGGGTGGGAGCAGGGCGGGAGTTGGAAATGGGATCCGGCAGCAGTGGCGGAAAAGAGCCCAGGCTGGGTGGACGGACACCCGCCGGGGAGGCGGTTAGGTCCAAACCGTCCCCGCTCGCGGGGCTGAGGACACTTCGGGAGCGGGCCGGCCGCTCTCCCTTCCCTTTCCGTGATCTCCCCACGCACTCACGCTTTCTTCCCCACGCTCCCTGTAAGGCACTGCGGGACATTTCGGGGTCGCCTGGAAGACAGCCCCGTCCCCGGGCCCCGCCGTATCGCCCCCGCGCCCAGCCGCCTCGGGCGTGCGCCGCGGGTTCTAACCGCGGGCGTCCTTAGTTCCCGCCTTCTTTTATTTTTGGCTGATTCCGGTATTGATTCAATCAGCAAACATGCCTTCATCTTCCAAGATATTTCGGGTAGCTGTGCCAAGCTTCAGACACAAAATGAATTATTACAAAACAAACACACGGTTCTCACTTTTTTTTTTTTTTGAGGCAAGGTCTCCTGTACTACGGGCTGGCCCTGTCCTCCTGCCTTTGCCTTCTTAGTACGGAAAGTACAGGCATGAATTGTGAGCCTTGGTAGCCTTTAAAGAGCGCTTACTAGCGCCAGACCCTGGTAAAGTGCCTTGCAGGAATTATCTCATTCATTTCTCACAACCCGGAGAGAGGCGCCTCCTGTTATACATGTCTCAAGAGTTCAGTT